CACACACACACACACACACACAAAAAGCTGATATGCATCTTTTATTGTTGCAAGTTCTCTTTACCTCGTTGTGCAGGCATGTCACTCTTTCAGTTCACATTGATACCCGTGGTCTTTGTTTCTGAACCCATTAGACTAATTCCTCTGGCAAATTTTCTTTTAGAATATATATATATATATATATATATATATATGTGTGTGTGTGTGTGTGTGTGTGTGAGAGAGAGAGAGAGAGGTTGGTGTCTTAACTTCATACTCTTTTCTGGATTACTTTCCAATTTTTAAGGTCACTTTGCTTCCGGTATGGTCTTACCATTTCTCACTCAAGCATACTGAGGCTCACGGGGGATAGTCATGTTAGAACTAGACGCATCTTGAATAAATATGTTGCATCAGTATGGCATACAGTTATACTATGCAGCTGATAAGGGAATAAGAGCAAATAAGGAAAAGACGGTGAAAGAAAGAGATTACTTTCTCTTTTAACTACTTTAAAACTAGAAAAGAGGTTTATTTCTTGCTTTATTCTCAGCAATATGTCTTGTATTACTTTAGAATGCGCCAGTAAGTTGAATTAGCAGGAGCTACTTTATGTGAGTAGGATGTGCAGAAACACACTCAACTGAACCTTCAATGCAGATTGAGGGAAAAAAAAAACTTTGAGACAGTCCTTCAACATTGTATCCATAACTTTGAAGAGGCAAATCTTGTTACTGCTGTACTTTTAGTGCTAGTTTTGTTGCACCACCTGACTAAATATTCATTATGCTGGAATATGTTAGAGCTTTAAGGCAACATAAGCATGCACACAAATCCTAAATTTTTTGGCAACTTAAAATGCAGATCCCGAGAGGCCTAAAAATGACAAGGCATCTATTCTCAGTGATACCATTCAAGTGCTGAAGGATTTGACTGCTCAAGTCAGCAAACTAAAATCTGAGTATGCTGCACTTACTGACGAAAGTCGGGAGGTGATATCTTGGCACTTCCTAAAACCATATATTTTATTCACTTATGTTCCTTTTGGTGTAATTTTCATGCCTAATTTTGTTTTAGAGCAGTTGACTCAGGAGAAGACTGATCTCAGAGAAGAGAAGGCATCTCTTAAATCTGATATTGAGAGCCTTAATGCCCAATATCAACAAAGACTGAGGACCATGTATCCATGGGCAGGGATGGATCCTTCCATGGTCATGCATCCGCCTTCATATTCATATCCAGTGCCTGTACCAATACCAACTGGAGCGATTCCAATGCATCCGTCTCTGCAGCCATACCCTTTTTTTGGGAATCAGAATCCTGCAGCTATCCCAAACCCATGTTCACCTTTTGTTCAATACATGGCTCCCAGCACACTGATGGAACAGCAACCGGCACAGCAGATTTCCCCTGTCATGCAGCCAAGTAATAGGACCCATGGTTCTGGCAGACATGACTCCAGAAACAAGTCGTCTGATCAAGGAGAGAGCAGGATCGAGAAATATGAAGATTCCAATGAAGTTGCAACAAATTTAGAGCTTAAGACACCTGGACCTGCATCTGAGCAGGTTATCTTTGCTCAATTCTAATTTATTTGACCTACTTTCCCTTCTAGAATATCCGAAATCTTTTGGCCTTTTTCCTAAATGGCCATGTTTACACCCTCCAGAAATTCTAATTAATTCTAAATAGCCACTGTTAGTTTATTTTAGATTAGCCTTGATGTCACTTTTTTCCAACAAACTACTACACTAGCATGTTAAACATGCAAGTATTTAACTATCTGTTGTATGATCATGACATTAAATTGTGCAGGAGCTTTCATCTGGACAAAGGATCTCCAGAAAGCTGTCAAGTAAGGATAACAGCCTCACTGATGGAAGTTCGTCGAGTAGATGTTCATCATCCCATAGTGTACAGGCTCTTTCTTCAAATAGTTTAGTTAGGGGAAAAAAGACATGATTGACAAATGGAAGAGAGCGGGGACCTGTTTTTTCCATTGTTATTTCTAAACCTTAAGTGATCAATATCAGGTAGTACCATTTGTTGTATATAAACTTTCTAGGATCAGGAAGCTGTTGCTGGTGTAAAATGTGTACGACTTAGAATTTTTCCCCAGATATTTCGTGGAGACTTCTAAGAGGGTTGCAACTGGATAGAGCTGGCATTCCCGTAAGAATGATATTTAAAAAGAGTGTTCAGCTCTCTTGTATCTTTATTGTAAACACTTTAGGCTATCTAATTTTTTCGTGATTGTTATTCTTCGCCTGTCATAACTAATCTTAGAGCTCTCTGCACACTTCTATATACGTTTCAAGTGCTTATTTTGATAAAAATCTGTAAGTTTGGTTGAGTAAGTAGGTTTTTCTGGTGTCTAACCCCAATGCTGAATCTTGGAATGAGGTATGCCTTGAACTAAAACCTTTTACACTATATTGTCTAATACGTTGCAATTTTCAACAAGCTGCATATCGTAAGGCCAATGTACAATTGAAGTGTAGAAGAGTATAATTTCTGCCATTTAATCAGTAAGGAACATGCCTAGCTGCTCAGAGAACACGAGCATGTTTCTGTTATCATTCAGTTTCTCTGCATGGCCATTTGAGTAATCGATATTATATCCAGCTTTCTGCTGGTCTGCCTGTTAATTTCTTATCGACAGTGTTGAAACAAGGGCTCCTGTTTCTCACGTGAAAGATTGATTGAGAACTGAAAGAGGTGCGAATATCTTGTGCACTTCTGTCTGGATAGTTATGTTCCTATGAGCGCCACATTCTGCGACTAACTTTATTAAAAAAATTCTGCAATGCAGGATCCTGTGTTTGTCTGCATTGGTATTCTCTAGCGTCCAATGAAGGTGGCTCTTGATCAGTTGCCGTGGCTTTGTCATCATGGAAAATAAATTGCTGAATGATTATCAGTCCGTCATTTTTGTCTCATTGAATATTTTTAACTATCCAGCTCTTACTGCCATGCACCATGCACCATGCACCATGCACCATGCACCATGCACCATGTAACTAGCTCCTTTTTTAAAAGCAAAATGACGAGCTTTGTGATTTCGGCTGCTCTTACTTATGTTGCGTGCTGCTTGACACTTGTAAATTATACCAAGTTACTTGGCGCCTGTTTCACGCTTCAAAGAAAATAACAAAATGATGAGAACACATACAAAGATCTGTTTAAAGTAATAACTAGTGATTGTTTTCATTTTAGTTTAACTTTAGGGTATCCTCCTGATCTTTTCTCGTGCAAACCAATAAATGTACTATTGTACATTTACAGGCTCCCATGTGGATCTGTGCTACATGCCATGCTACTTTAAACCTAAAAAGTCCCATACTAAAACATCTTTCTTTCTAATTAGCAATATGGTGTCGGCTGCTTGAGTGTCTCAGTTCAAAAGGAAAAGTAGGCTGATAGGTGGAAACCATACTCAAAGCATATATTCCAAAGCCACCCTTGTACTAGTAAATCGTAAAGCGACCCAATCCTTGCAAGCACTTACTCCCTCCGTTTCATATTTTTTGAGGTAGTTTGACTCGGTACGGAGTTTACAAAAAAAGAAGAAGACTTTTGAAAGTTGTGGTCTTAAAAGCTTAGGGTAAAAGGTTTGTGGGGTCATGCCATTTGTGTGGCTATAAAAGCTTCTCATTAAGGGCAAAAAAGGTAAAATGAAGAGTTTAAAGTTGAATTATTTCCAAATTTAGAAATATGTCATTTATTTTGGAACAGACTAAAAAGGAAAATACCTTATTTAATATGAAACGGATGGAGTATATTAGAACGTAAATAAATACATGCAGCACCACTCAAGAGATAAAAGAAAGACTTGAGAGTTAAGTACCAATTACAAAGCAAGAAAAGATAGAGATGGATTGGTTGTATCCCAAAAGAAGGGGTCCAGAATGGAAACAAGGTTGGACAAACCAGACATTAGGCTCAGTTTCAGTTCCACCCCTTCCATTGCTGGCCATATTTGCCATTGTTATTTTCTTGCTGTCATTGTCTCAATACAATAACTATAAAGAACAGTTGGAGCAAACTAGGATCAATTTGCAGCTGTTTTTCTATCTAGTACCAGTCTTCTTGATCTTCCTCATGCGTTCAAGCATGCTAAATGGGGGATTCAACTTCTGGGGTCCGTCGCAGCCTCGGCAGAACAACTCCTTTTATAAAAGAAGCAGAGCAGAATTTCCATGGGGTGTCGCAATCTTGGTGGTGGTGCTTATAGTGCTGGTTTCTTATCAGTCCTCATTTCAGTCCAAGTGGTTCCCTTTTAGTGGATCAGATTAGTTGTGTCTTCTCCAAGTTTTAGCTCATGAATCCCTTTTACAAGTGTTTGAAGAAATATGTATCCAGTGTGGATTTAAGGTGAGTTCAATAAAACCATTGTTTAGGTATAACCGTTGTTCTAGCGTTGATTGTAATCTTTGAATAGAGCTTTAATTACTCATTGAGAGTTGGTTACTGATCACGCCCAACTATGCTTTATAAAAAGGATTAAGCGGTTGTTGTAAATATAATCCGGATTACAAGTCCGGAGTCGAATCCCACAGAGAACTAAGGCTTAGCTACAGTTGTTCAATATCGCTAAGAAACACAAGTCCAAACAATTTCCTAATTATAAAGATTATAATATTTATTTTTATCTAATTAACTAACAAATACTAGAAAGCAGTAAAACTATCAACTAACAAGGATAAGGATTGGAAAAAAGATTAAGGAGGTCTAGATTTATGATTTTCCCAATTATCGGAATCCTTCCCGCTACGTCTTCTATAATTTCGCCTAAGTATTCTCTACCGATCATGAGCACTCTGGTTGTCGTAATTCTCTCCCGAGTAATTACAACAATATACTAGACATATTCTCTCGAATTACGCTAGCTGGCCTTAAATACAGCTCACTCAGATTGCACCAAGGTTTCGTTATCCCTAATCCACCTTTAAACCCTTCGTATTGATCACTCATATACGTTAGTAGCGATGTTATTCAACAGCTACTTAAATATGCACTCTCTCCCGAGTAATACACACTAAATAGGCACATTCAATTGAGAGCTCTTCAATCAACCACAATATAAACGTAGTTGAACAAATAGAGAAATCCAACGGCTCAATTATATAAAAACATAACAAGAATTTATCCTACAAAAGGTTCTATCAAAACTATAGAGAACAAATTAGCTATTCATAATAGTATGCACAACTACAATACTAGAATTCATAACCAATAATGAAAATAGGAAGAAGGAAGTGAAAAGCTCGTAGAAGAATTCTCCGCCTAGCTGCTAGTGTGTTCTTGCCTCCTTAGGTCGAATCTCCGGTCTCCACGACGGCTCCGTGCTCTTCCTAGGTCTAAAGTGTATCCAAGCTCGATATCCCCTTCAAAAGTGGCGTTTTTAGGTCTATTTATATGTGTAGGAAAAGACCTAAACGTGTAGGCCAAGTCCTAGTCAAACCGGGAGACGAATTAAGTCTTCAAAACTTGGACTGGACCTGGCCTGGCATCGCCAGCCTAACACCAGCCTCAGCATGGCCTTTGGCTGGCCTTGCCAGGCTAAAGCCTGGTTCAGCCTGGCCTTTGGCTGGCCTCGCTAGGCTAAAGCCTGGTTCAGCCTGGCCTTTGGCTGGCCGCGCCAGGCTAAAGCCTGGTTGAGCTGGCCTTTGCCTTGCCTCTCCTTTTCCAAGCACACTTTCAACGTTTAAGTATTCCTTTTACTCTACTTTCATCTCCAATTCACCTACACATAAAATAGACTCCATTACGTGCAAATAAAGTGTAATTTATCATTAAAGCACTTAAAATTCAAGGCACATAATGTGCTAAACCATGAATTATAGCCACACATCAATACCCCACACTTAAACATTGCTCATCCTCGAGCAATCAAACTACACTCATGGACACAACCTATTAAGCAATTCTCTTAACTCATTATACCAAGAATCTTTAAAATAGTTTAAGCACAAGGGTGTGACATCCTCGCCTCAAGAATCGACTCACAAATACTATGCCTTATTCACAATTCACTTACTTACTCTAACATGGAAGTCAACAACATTACCTTTCCTTTATGAATTATGTGCCCTTACCCAATCAAAGAGCTTAGTTCCACACACAATGAATTTTAATAACGTAGGAACTCAAGATAGGAAAAATTCACTCGCTCTCAGAAATAACCTTCATATGCCCCAAATGACGCACCATAAGCTTGCCCGTAGTGTAATACTCCACTAATCAAGTTCATTCAGTCTAAGATCAAATAGGACTTTCATTGGTTGAAATGTAGGCTGTGGGTCGGGTAGGATACATTTGGATATAAGTGACTACACCTCCCTTAAGCACTTTAATACAAACACTTTAACCTTCAAGCCCATACTTATGTCAAACCAAAACTCCACCTTAACTTCACTATATTTTACCCCTACTTCTTTAAGCACCAGTACATCAATAGCCACCACCATCAGGAATTATTTTTCATACACTACAGCTATTATATAAATATCTCTTTTTTTCTTTCTCTTTCCAAATGGTTATTATTGACACATTTCTTTTTTCTTTCAAACGGTGCACCTTTCTCCTTATTTCACTTGTTCCACTCAAAAGCCAACCCACCACCCCACACTTTAACCTTTTCATAATTCATTATAATTCAAGTGCTCATGAGAAGTGACAAGGTTCAAATATATGGTCGATTCAAACAAAAGGGTACGGCTTGTAATGTGGTTACCAAAGAAACATGATTATAGACTCAACGGGGTTAACTACGATACATCACAATTAGGTGGGTACTTGATAACTAGGGATTCTAGTCTATTTTACACTCTTTTTTGCTTAAGTTTTGGATTAAAAGTGTATACAAGTAATCCCGAAAGCTAACATGTTATGCTTGTTTGCAGTGTTTGGTCAAAAAGAGACAAGGAAGTCAAAAACCAGCTTAAAAGGGAGAGAAACCTGCACAAGTGCAAAGCTGAGTCAACTAAGCACTACAACGAGAAATCAACCGCGGACGCGGAGAGTCCACCGCTGAGGCGGTCTTGATCTCGCGTTCCGCGATGGCAAGGTTCAGAGAGATGCATTTTTGGATTGCAAGTCACCGTTGATCGCGGTGCTTTTATGCGGCAGCGGTGCGTCTACCGCGACAGCGGAGAATTTACCGCGGTGGCAAAGATTCAGAGAGATGCAATCTGAGGCTTTTCAAGTCACCACTGACCGCAGTGGAATTATGCGGCAGCGGTGCCTCTACCGCGACAGC